TAATAATGCAAAAACTTAAACCGACCATAAAACATATGACATAAAATATAATATTTAAATCACGTTACAATATAAATTAGGTATCACGTGCATCGCACGTGCACTTTACTAGTTTGATAAAAAGAGAAAAAAAAGGGAAATTAGATAACACAGAAGTTAGGAATGTACATACCCATAGGTAAGGTCCTTCTTGAGTTCCTTCGAGAACACTGATCCATTTGGGATTGTACTGAAATTTGCTCTTGGTGTGCACAAGATCTCGGCCCTGCATTTACAGAAACAATTAAGAAACAAAACTTGGTATCTCTGGAAATATAAAAAGACATGATTTGATTAGTAAGACGGAGAGCTACCGCTTCAAGAATCTCCTCTGCCTTCTCGTCTCCGATTAACCTTAGGCCAGCTGTTGCCTGCAATTTTGATGGAAACATCACTTCAGTCCGAGATGAATCCGGACTTCCCAAGGGAGTAGTAGCAGGATATGCCTTAGATAATACTGTATTAAGCTTTATTCACTAATCACTGCTACTTGAGATGCATTGAATAAACTGAAACGTGAACAAGTAGAGATGTTTATGGAGGAGGTTTTGAGATTTTCTTTCACCGGATGAACATAGATAATCAAGAATTTTGAACAATTTATTACCCCAAGTTTGAGCGGAGTACTTTTCTGAAGCCGGAGAGGGACAATCTTCTTAGCCTGCTCAAGAAGGGGCAGTATAGAGTTCGCGGCCTCCTGAGGTTTCCCTGCAAATGAGCTCAGCCCGGGCTTTATCTGGATCATCAACAAGTCACAAACATGAACCTATAGTATAATTTATGAATACTCCACCCAGTAACTTTCATATAAAGAGTGCAGATGAAAAAAAAAAATGATGGTTTCAAATATAATTTCCAAATTTGAGGACCATGTGAGGACCCCAACAGGTCACATGCTGTACGTGTGAGCCCCTGGCCTTGTATATCCGCATGCAGCATAATATCTACAATGTAAAAAATTGCCGGTCTCGACAGTATCTACAATATTGATGAAATTATCTTCATTTGATTCCGTACAAAACATGTAATTTTCTAAGACCTATTAATCATGTAAAATCATTTTTTATACGGATTTAGTGAAGATAATTTTTATATAAATTTGTAGATATTGTCGAGATCTATAACTTATTAGTTTTGAG